ATCATGAATCAGGGAATGTTTGAATGAATTTCTTTGAAATATTGTTGCTTTCCTGGGCTACATGCATAGAATGGTCACCTGCATAGTCAGTTTGAGTATAAAGAGAAAGAGGGGGAGATTTTTGTTGTCTTTTGAGGGGAGCAGGCAACTGAGATTAAAGGTCAAACAAGACTTAATAGAGATGGCATGATGAATCATATATTTTATTTGGGATGAAGAGTATGATGTTTATTATTTTAAGACCACCATAAAAGATAAGAAGGTTATAGTTCAATATGTATCAGTTTAAGACAGAAAGGGCAATTTGTTTTGTCTACTTCCTGCATTGTAAAATCTCCTCTGAAATTTTAAACTAACCTCATTTGCAGCATGATAACAAAATTCTACCAGCACATCCTGGCCTTGGCATTTGCGGTAAAAGTGATTAATGAGAATCCCAACCTCTTGCCCAATGTCACACTGGGATTCCACGTCTATGACAGCTATTATGATGCAAGGATGACCTATCGTAACACTCTGGACTTGCTCTTTAAAACGCATAGATTTGTTCCAAACTACAAATGTGACTCGCAGAAAAACCTCATAGCCATAATCGGAGGACGTAGTGCTGATACCTCCTTCCATATGGCTGATACCCTAAGCCTCTACAAGATTCCACAGGTAGGTTTTATGAGTTGGGTCACACTCTTCTCTTCCCATTCTGAACATGATTTTGAGATTCAGAAAGTGAATATGACTGATGCTTATGCATTATGAGCTGGAATGTCTATCAGAAATGTAGATTACTCCTTACCAGTAGAAATTACTACACCAGTGAAAGTCTGAGTCAAGGAGACAGCAGGCAGTGCACTGGACACTTCCAACACCAACACCCTGTACAACTGCAAGAGAAGTTGTCTCTGCAAGGAGCCTGGACCACCTGAGGACTTAGAAAGCTGAACTTAGGCTCTACCTCCCTGGATAATTTGGATGACTGATGAAAGGGTACTAACTTATTTTGTAATATTTGAGTTCTGCAAGAATGGAGAGACAGAGATTTGTACAGTACTCATCATCTGACTCAGAGGACTATAGGGGGATGTATTCTCCAATCAGTGTAGTCCTGAATTAGCCCTGAATATCCTGCCAAGGAAATAGTCTGTTCTCAAGAAAGTCCCCAGCCATGCATTCCATTTAAGCAGACATAGGTCATGACAACTCGTGCTCTCCTTCTTTGGAGAGACCCCACAAAACCTGGCTGGAAGGAGCACAGGACACCAACCATGCATGGAAGTCCAATGGCATCCAAAAAATATCCACCACACACACACACACAAAACACCTTGAATAGGAGAACCACAGTTCCTTAATCCAGTTGCAGGGTAACTATGATACTTCCCTGTGCTGTGTGCATCTCATTCAATGGCTGCGCTCATTTCTCTCTGGTCGGGGACAGAGGGTGGCGCTTGGGGGGGAATTGTCATTGCCCCACTCCTTGGTGTGTGGAGTACTTCAGGGTGCGATACTCTCCCCGATGCTTTTCAACATCTTTATGCGCCCCCTCGCCCAGCTTGTCTGGAGTTTTGGGCTGGGTTGCCATCAGTATGCTGATGACACCCAACTCTATCTGTTGATGGATGGCTATCCTGACTCGGCCCCAGACACACTGACCAGATATTTGGAAGCTGTGGCTGGATGGTTACGTGGGAGCCGGTTGAAGCTAAATCCTTCGAAGACAGAGGTCCTGTGGCTGGGACGGGATGATATGGGATTGGGGGGGCAACTCCCATCTCTTGTGGGGGCGCAATTAGTGCCAGCACCATCCGTTAAGAATTTGGGTGTAATCTTCGACACCTCCCTTTCCATGGAGGCGCAGATTGCAGCTACAACAAAGGCGGCATTTTTCCATCTCCGCCAAGCTAAGCAGTTGGCTCCTTACCTCTCTCGCCCTGACCTAGCCACTGTGATCCACGCAACGGTCACCTCCAGACTGGATTATTGTAACTCGCTCTACGTGGGGCTGCCCTTGAGACTGACCCAGAAACTCCAGCGGGTGCAGAATGCTGCAGCGAGACTCCTTACGGGGTCTTCGCTGCGAGATCACATTCACCCGGTGCTATACCAGCTGCACTGGCTCCCGGTGGAGTACAGGATCAGGTTTAAGGTGCTGGTTTTAACCTTTAAAGCCCTATATGGCCTAGGACCCTCGTACCTACGGGACCGCCTCTCCTGGTATGCCCCACAGAGAAACTTACAGTCTTCAAATAAAAACATCTTGAAGGTCCCAGGCCACAGAGAAGTTAGGCTGGCCTCAACTAGAGCCAGGGCTTTTTCGGCTGTGGCTCCGATCTGGTGGAACACTCTGTCACAAGAGACTAGGGCCTTGCGGGACTTGACATCTTTCTGCAGGGCCTGCAAGACAGAGCTGTTCCACCAGGCCTTTGGCCAGGGCACAGCCTGACTCCCTGCCTCGGCAATCTTCACGGAGCTCTGGCCCAATGGTTGCCAGTGGCTTGAATTAATTAATTTTATAATGAATGATTTTAGAGTGTTGTTTGTGCTGTACTTTTGTACTGTTTTATTGTTGTTAGCCGCTCTGAGCCCGGCTTCGGCTGGGGAGGGCGGGATATAAATAAAAATTATTTATTATTATTATTATTATTATTATTATTATTATATGCACCACAGGCTTAGATATCACAACAGTTGGACGTGTGTTTAGCACTGTAAACAAACAAGCTGACTTTTCTTCCATGTATGCCTTTTGGAAGGCTTCAGAGTGTTTTCATGGGGTTTTCACACTTTGAGGGTCAACATTTTGAGGTCAAGAACACATTAGAATGTTGTCATAGGTTTTAATGGAAACTGTTGTCTCCTTAGGGAAACGCTCACCTAACAAACAATTTTCTGAGAATGTATTTTGTTCAAATAGTGTGATCTGTAAGTAGACAAATACAACAGCTTAGGAGTGTCAGATATCACAACTATACCTGAGTTCCTTGCGGAACACCCTCCCTTCAGCTGTAAAGGAGTTAAGAATTACACAACTTTTAGAATACATCTGATTGCGGCCCTGTATCAGGAGGTTTTTAATGCTTGATGTTTTTATTATGATTTTAGATACGTTGTAAGCTGTCCAGTGTGTCTGGGGAAACACAGCAAGATGGGTGGGGTATAAATAAAATAATGATGGTGGTGGTGGTGGTGGTGATGATGATGATAAGGTTTTAGACCAGTTCAAGGTTACTTTTAAACTTCTTTTTTGGAATTAACATTTGTACATTTACATTTGGAATTAACATTTGGGTTGATATAGATCATGAAACCTTTTGTGATTACAGATGCAGAGAAATGTTAGAACCAATTATTTTCTTCTGGGATCTGGGGCTTATATGTTGAGTACAGATCACCTTTGGAACTACCATGTAGCACCTTCTTAGAGCTGTGGGGCCCCAAGAAGGTGTGGGTCAACAAGGCCTCCCTCCCCCCTTAGGTGTGGGTCTGATGGAAGTAGGTGAAGTTAAATCCAACCCCTTCTAGGTGGCAGTGTGTGCTTTGCCAGAATTGTTAACAGCTGAGTCTGAGCAAAATCACACTGAAGAGAATTAGTACTGAAGGAATGGGTTTCCCAAATCCCAAAACTGACTGTGCAGGCAGTTTTAAACTGCACCAAAATCCCTATTTTTCCTTAGCTAAAATGCATAAACTTGAGCCGTTGAGCAAATGCGTAACAAGAACACAGCTCTCTCCTTTATCAGTTTGTGACGTCAAGGATGACCCTGACTGTACCAGCAGAACAGAGAAAACACGTTTGTGCCTTATCTTATGTTCTGACCACAAAGACGCACAGACCCAAGTCTGGGAATAATGCCAGAGTGTGTTCTCGGAAATGGTGACCTCTGGCTCCCAGATAAGAGTAGGAACAGGAATATCCTTTTATGGTCAGGAGTGCAGGAAGGAAATCCCTTTTATGGTTAAGAGTGCCAGAGCAGGAACATCTGTGATGTCAACCTACATGTACAAGCTGACGTGGCTGGGGAAGGGGTGCCTGGAGAATATATATACTGCATGAAACTTCTCGTTTCTTTGGACTTGCTGTGGACTCACCACGCAAGTGCCTTCTGCTATCCGGAGAGCAGAATAAACTCTTTCTTGGAATCAACCTCGGTGTCATTTGACTTCCTCCTTCCTGTCCCGGAGCAATGCAGACCCAATCAGTGAACTCCAATAAGGCTACAGTACAATTTAAATAAACACACTTCACTTGTGTCGCACCTCTTTATTTCATGGTTATTGTCACAATAGTATAGTTTCCCTCATCTTGATGGCACATCTGGATTTTGCCACAAATTTATCACGTAGAGAAATAAGAGCTGCCAAGTCATGTGGCAAAACTGGAGTTGGAAAGTCACCTTTCATTCAAGATTTGCTGCTTTGAGTCACAATACAAAATAGACTCACTTTGACTTTCCTGCTGATGTTTTCACATACCATGGAACACTTCAAGCTAATTGCCACTTTTTGTGCCACAAAGGGGAAGAGGCAGTGCATAGGGCATCATAGGCAGATCTGAGAATAAACACCGAACTCAACATGTTGCAGTAAAAGAAAAAAACTCCAACCCTCATTGGAACTAAAACTTTTCAAAAGTTATTAAGTCACCGTACAATTATCCAAATCACTATAATTTGTCCACCTGGTCAGAACACCAGAGGCATAAGAAAACTGTCAATAAACAGCCATGAAAGGGATTATAATGATGAATCTCTGTATCATGAGGAGATAGGAATAGTATCAAGTGGTAGCCATGGCTCCCAATTTTCTTTCTCCCATTTAGTATTTTCATCATATTATTGGTCGGCCTTGAAATCTGAGTGTTGAGCATTGGAAATCTCACCTAGCATCCAAAGCATGTGTTTATACTGCTTTGATTTTTAAATAAGGTGTGCCAATCTCTCTTGTTGTGCTCTATTGACAGAGCCAGGTATCATGCCGTCTAGTTTGCTTAACTCATTTTGCAGGTACTGATAGGCAAAGAGCATCCAAGATTGCAGAGAAGCTTGCCTGCAAGGATGCTGTGGTCATTCACTTTGCTTTTTCTGCTGCCTCCTGTTGTGTGCAAAGCAGCTATGAGGTGCCCTGAGACTGATACATTTCCTGTTCCACATGAATGGTACCAGTCAGGTGGCCTCATCATTGGTGGGATAGCTTCTCAGTTCTATTATTCCATCATTGAAGAACGCTTCATTGAAAATCCTTCACAGAATCTGTTTGATAATAATCCACAGTAAGAGACTCACCCTCCTCTTTCATTTTTGGGATTAAGCCTTCCAGTGTTTGTTTGTTTGTTTGTTTAGTATTGTGTATTCTCCTAAAATGACCGGCAGTAAATAATTGCTTTGCTCTCTGTGATAATAGGGTTACTGCTGTGCATGTTCTTGGGGCACCTAATCTGAAAGTGTCCAATCTTCCTAGAAAAAATGCCATGTATCAGACACTGTTTGAGTCTCATTTGTGAGATATTGACCTCATGGTTTGAGAATTGCTTTGTGAGATATAAACCTGTTTCAATATATTTCATTCATCTATGAAGTCACACCTGGCACTGGCTGATAAGTGAAATAGAGAAATTTAGAAATTTTAACAAAATGTAGTGTGTGTTGGGAGTCTGTTAAACTGATTGTAGCAACAGCAAGTTGATGGGAGATTAATTCCTTTCCCAAGCCTTGGGTGATTAAAAAAAAGGTATGAGTTTTGCCATCGTAAGCATGAAGTATAAATAATAAATCATCAAAAAATGCTCTTAGAGCGTGCTACTTGCAATTATTTACATGCACTAATATGTATGTTTCCTTCATTCTAATACGCAAAATTCCTATTTTTTGTTTGAATTAAAATACTTCAATGACATGAACTTGTATTCCAAAACTTTTGTCTTTCCAATTCCTTGAACTCCAAATGCAAGCTTCAAAATTGTTTGAACCCTGTGGAGATTTTGTGGCTTAAGAACACAGTCATTAAATTAGTGAAATATGGAGCAATATGCTCTGTATGCATTTCTGACCATGGTATACTGATAGAGAAGTGAAGATAAGTCTAAAGGAGTTAGTTTATTCTTCTATTAGGTTTAGAATTGAATATATTTGATAGTGGTGATGGAAAGAAACTTAAAATTGTGATGAAGAGAAAACATTTCACCCCATTTTTCTATACCTGTCTTACATAGAAGAGGTGACTTCTGGTATATTAGAAGTGAATGATTGCACCTAAACCAAGTCTGCAATCTTATACAAAAATACTTGGAAGTTATTCCCATTGAACTCATTTGCACTTGCATTTGAGTAGAAATGCATTGGATCACACTGTGGTAGGTTGGTTTTGATTAGTTCTTTTTAATAACAATATTGCTTTTAAAGTAATCATTAACTTGTCTTATTTTAACTTGTTTATTAAACTGATAACTATTTTTAAAGCAAATGCATAGTGCAATCCTATAAATGACTACCAGAAACTGCCTTGCATAAGGATGGTAGTAACTGTAACTAATTCAATGAAATATTGTTGCTTTCCTGGTCTACATGCATAGAATAATGACCTTCATGTCCATTTGGAGCAGAAAGAGAAAGAGTTGGGTGTTGTTGCAGTCTTTTGGCGGGCGGTGGGGGGTGGATAGTAAAGACCAAACAAGAGCTAACTAAATGGTGGTAAAAGAAATATAGAAATGGCATGATGAGTAATACATTTTATTTGGGCTGAAGAGTTTGATATTTATTATTTTAAGACCACCATAAAAGATAAGAAGGTCATAGTTCAATATGCATCAGTTTAAGACAGAACGGCAATTTGTTTTGTCTACTTCCTGCATTGTAGAATTCTCCTCTGAAATTTTAAACTAACCTCATTTGCAGCATGATAACAAAATTCTACCAGCACATCCTGGCCTTGGCATTTGCTGTAAAAGTGATAAATGAGAATCCCAACCTCTTGCCCAATGTCACACTGGGGTTCCACATCTATGACAGCTATTATGATGCAAGGATGACCTATCGTAACACCATGGACCTGCTCTTTAAAATGTATAGATTTGCTCCCAACTACAAATGTGACTTGCAGAAAAACCTCATAGCCATAATCGGAGGACTTAACTTTGATACCTCCTTCCATATGGCTGATACCTTAAGCCTCTACAAGATTCCACAGGTAGGTTTTATCAGTAAAAGGTAAAAGGTACCCCTGACTTAGGATCAGTCTCGCATGAGTCTGGCGTTGCATGCTCATCTCGCTCTATAGGCCGAGCGAGCCGGCGTTTGTCCACAGACAGCTTCCAGGTCATGTGGCCAGCATGACTAAGCTGCTTCTGGCGAACCAGAGCACCACACGGAAATGCCGTTTACCTTCCTGACGGAGCAGTACCTATTTATCTACTTGCAGTTTGACATGCTTTCAAACTGCTAGGTGGGCAGGAGCAGGGACTGAACAATGGGAGCTCACCCTGATGTGGAGATTTGAACTGCCAACCTTCTGATTGGCAAGCCCTAGGCTCTGTGGTTTGGACCACAGTGCCACCTGCATCCAGGTTCTGATTACTTCTTAGGTTTTATGAGTAGGGTCATAAATTTTTGTTCCACAAATCACACTCTTCTCTTATCATTCTGAAAGTGATTTTGAGATTCAGAAAGTAAACATGACTGATGCTGAAGCATTGCAAGCTGGAATGTCTGTAAAAAATGTAGATTACTCCTTACCAGCAGATATTGCTACACCAGTGAAACTCTGAGTCAAACAGGCAGCAGGAGCACCTTGGACACTTCCCATACCACCAACCTGTTCCACACAACAACTGCAAGAGAAGTTGTCTCTGCAAGGAGGCCAGGTTGACCTGCAGACTTACAAAGCTGACCATAGGCCCTGCCTCATTGGAGAGTCTGGGTAACGGATTAAAGGGACCTAATTTATTTTGCACTATTGGTCATTTGCAGGGCTAGAGAGGTGCTTTGTAATGTTGATAATGTCTGTTCTTTTCCTGTTAGCTTGCATATGGCTCATTCCCCCAAGAGGAGAGTGATATAGATAACTTCCTTTCCTTTTACCGCATGGTGCCCAATGAAGTGCATCAGTATATGGCAATTATCAGCTTGCTCCAGCATTTTGGATGGACATGGATTGGACTCTTTGTTACAGATGATGATGGAGGAGAAAATTTCCTGCAGGCCCTGGAGCCCATGCTTTACCAGCATGGGATCTGTTCAGCCTTCACACAAAGAATGGAAAAAATAGCTCGTTTTGATATGGTGGGTGAAATTTATGATATGCTTGATAGGTATTACGTGGGTGTCACAAATGATAAAGCCAATGCATTCATTGTCTATGGAGATTCTCTGACATTGACCTGGTTAAGGTCCGTTATGTATCTACGAGATCCTGAAAATAAGGAAAGCGCATCATTTAGAAAGGTGTGGATCATGACAACACAGATTGATTTCATATTATTGAGTTTTCAAAAGTCTTGGGATCTTGAGCTCTTTCAAGGTGCCATTTCCTTCACCATACACTCCAAAAAGCTTCTCAAGTTCAATGAATTTCTTCAGATCATAAAACCTTACTGGAATTCAGGTGATGGTTTTCTCAAGGACTTCTGGGAGCAAGCATTTGACTGTACATTTCCAGATCTGCTCATGCAAGATATTGAAACCTGTACAGGGGAGGAGAAGTTAGAGTGTCTTCCTGGGCATGTGTTTGAAATGGACATGACTGGCCACAGCTACAATATCCACAATGCTGTCTATGTTGTCGCCCATGCTTTGCATGCTCTTTATTCATACAGATCAAAGCAAAGAGCAATGGTTGGAAGCAAAAGGTTTGAACTTCAAGATCTGCAGCCCTGGCAGGTAACCTGCTGCAAACAAAATATTATTTCAGTGAGTGAATTTCTCTGAGGCAAGACATCACGTGATAACATTTTGTGATTGTGATTATTTCCTATATATATTTTGTATGTACAGAATTTTTGCCTTCTGTTGCTTTGTCATAACTTTTCCATCTGCTATATGAATTTAGCCCATTGTTGATATTTGGCCTTCATTCTAGATATATATATTCCTTCTTTTCCCTTTTTCTGTTTGAATCAGCTGCACCATTTTCTGCAAGGCATTTCATTCAACAACTCAGCAGGTGAAACAATGTCCTTTAATGAAAAAAGAGAACTGAGAGGTGGATTTGACATCACAAACATGATCACATTTCCAAACAAGTCTTTCCTTCAAATGAAAGTTGGACGAGTTGATCCTGATACTCTTGAAGGAGAAGCATTCATTTTTCATGAAGATATGCTTGTATGGCACAGAGGTTTTAATCAGGTCTGCAGTTTATGAATCCTTCTGTTCCTCACTGGTCTTATGACGTGTTCTTTAGGTGTTGGAAATTCCATTTTCTTTAAAACTGTTGTTTCTATCTAATATGGCAAAGGAAAAATGTGGCTGCCTAGCGCATTAAAAATTGATAACAGGGGAAAAACATTACATTTTTGTAGAACTATATCTTCCATATACATAAAGCAAAGCCTTGGCATACATAAATGAAATTACTACATAGGCGCCCATTCGGTAACCTCTTTTCTTATTGCATGGAGACAATAACTCAGTAATAGAACACGTACTGCATGCAAAAGTTCCCAGGTTCAATCCATTGCATCTCCAGGCAGGGTTAAAATGAAGTCCTGTTGAGCTGTTTTTCAATTGTTTTCCAGCATTTTGCAGAACAAACTTAACATTTCGGAGAGCCCTTGAACTGTATGGTTGACCTGACAAACTTAGTGCCCTACTGGTCACCCCTCTCCATTAATGCAAAACTTTGGCACAGGTTTGGTTTGAATTGAAGAATATTGGAATGGGGGTGACCAGCATTGCACCTTGTTGCAGAAGTTCGACAATATTTTGGGACACTTCAAAATGTGGGGATTTCGCTGCAAAATGATTGCAAAGTTTGTCATAGGTTTGGAGGGAATCCCAAATAACGAGATTCATAGTTAACACAACTGCATAATGCAGCTCTTTTATATTAAACCTTTATTTGCTGAGTAGTGAATAAACAATCAGTTTTTCTGATCTTCTGAACGGCTTTCCTGCTATGGATAGGTGATTCCCCTTTCTCTGTGTAATGACCACTGCCACCCTGGCAATCAGAAGAAGAAAAAAGAAGGAGAAAAGTTTTGCTGCTATGGTTGTGCTCCTTGTTCAGAAGGGGAAATTTCAAACCAGGATGGTAAGTCATGCAGCGCTCATATTTTTC